ACTGGCGGATAACAACATTCTAATGAAATTTGGGACAGACAGACACTCGCTTACTCAACCTGGTCGGATGGAGTAGTCCGATAAAACTGGGACAGTAGAAATGATATTTAGTGGTAGCTTGCAACTTACTGTAACAAGTGATATAGTAAGCCGATGCTTTTTGTTTCATGCCTTCTGTTGGATTCAAACAAATTCGTCTATCTTCGTCGTTATTGCCTCCCATCGATCTTTCCTTATCAACTCGTGTACATCGCTCGTACCCTCCAAATTCTTCGAAGAACACATTTCGAAACCTTAATCAATCACGGTCACATCATCCTATCATTTGACAAATATAAACACCTATATGCCCACCCCAATAAGTCCACGTCATGAAAGCATCCGAGGAAATCCTAGCAAAAATTGAATTCCAACTCGAAACTGAAGTTATTTAAATCAAATCCGAACAACGACAAAATATATTCGAACTGTTCCGATTCTAATGAGAAGAAAAAACAGAAATCCAAAAAAGCAAAATGAGTGCAATCGAATTACATTCGAAAGACTGACGCCACTTTCTTTTCAATCACATGATTCGTGTTATAAAATGACATATCGTCCACATCACGGTCACTTATTCGATTACGAATCACACTGATACAACCCGAGATCAATTGACCTTCGTCTTGGATTCCATAGTTGTCCAGAAGTGCCTGAAAACATCTTTCAACATCATATTGCGTATCTTTTAACACTGTCCAGCCTAAACGTATCCGTACGATATAAGACAATCCAAACGTATCAATAAGATAATCTACTGCTCACCCTAATATGTGCATTATACGAGTCTAGTTGTAGTTGAGCAATCGTCGTATATCCTTCCCATCCCGGAAATATCAACATTGGATCCAACTCCAGCACTGTGACATCCTCCAATGCACTCGTCAGCGTCAACACATCGTCAACCAATCGGATACGTCTACACAAAAAACAAAATCACACAATTAGTAAATTTCATTTACTTCCACATGAACATCGATCAACCTGTTTGCTGTATAATCTAGGCAAAATCCCTGAGCGCAATTTCGTTCACAAACATTGAAAGCGCTTCCCGTAGAAAAACATGTAGCGAGACTGCAACCACACAATCAGATATTAGCAAAATTATTTTCAAATCTCAAAGATTGAAAGCCTAAGCCAAGTTTCGAATACCATGCGATATTTTTCAAAAATGATGAAGCCAGCGACTAATAGATCAAAGATATTTCTCCAAATCAAGAAGCACCCACCTATAGAGTTGTCCGACAAGACGTGGCGATATATAGTTCGGCTCATGATTTTTACACATAAAATCTGGCCATCTCTCCGACCGTTCTGGTGGTACCAAACTTCCACTGGCGCCTTCCGTCCACACTTTTGTTAGTGGCTCAGGAGCGTCGCCAGTTTTCGGGAAATCCACTGCTTGTGAATGCTTTCGAGCGATATTCACACAAATCTGAGTGAATGCACAAAATGAATACAAAAACGTGCGATGAACATCAAATAAAATCAAATAAACAGTGTAACTGCCATTGCCAAATTGTGGAATGCATAAGCTATGGCTTTCGCCGAGCATATAAACCGGCATAAACTACAATCGCACACTAGTGCACAGCGCAGGCTGACAAATCTAACGGTACCATATATTACGGCAAAAGTTGTCCTGATTTTTCACTCACCAATACATACCAAAAAACCATATACTCAATCAAAACCTTGCTAACCTCTCCTATGATAAAATGAATCGATAAGCACAAAACGACTAAACGACCGATTAACAACTCATTTAACAAAGTCACTTCGCTCACTTCACTCGTTATCCCATACAAATCCGCATTCACCAGGAACGCGTTTGCGATTGACCCAATCGAATCTTGCTTTATGTAATTGCAGAAAAACTTCCGCATCTCGAAATCCTATAAAGGCAATAAAAAACCGAAAATTCCGAACGCAAACGTTAAGACATATCCACAAAAAAACTTCTGAGATATACATAAAACCAAACGAGTATAAGTGAACAGACGAAAACAAACGAATGACGAAAACCAACCACGTGATCTTGATCAACTACTTCATATTTTTTCACTCTCTTCGTAAAATCCAACGGACTCTCATTTCGAACAAACATCAACTTCTTATCCCATATCACCGTGTATTCGTCACCATCCAAATCTGATCCTTTAAACACGAACAAAACTGTCACATACATTCTACACATAAATGAATCAATCAAATCGCTCTTCGCAAGAAAGAAATACGGCTAATTCTTTCAGTGTTCAGAAATTCAGATGAGAACCTCATTCCTCCTTATTATGACAACAAAATAATTCATCTGTACGAAACTTCCCTGGATCCGATAGACTGGCACAACTGTTTCTTCGGAACCGAAACAAAGCAAAAGCGGAAAAGTCAATAGCACGAACCGGCCATTTCATCCGTATGCGGTCTTGGACCATACTGCGGAAAGACGACCACATCAACGAGATGATGCAGTTCGGGAATGTCAACTGCTTCGAATATTCGAACATCTCCGGCCACGATACACGGATTCTTTGTCATCAAAACTGGACCTGCAATTTCAAGTCAACAACCCCAGTAGAATAAATTTTCAACTCTTTTCAAGTTTACAACCAAAACCATCACAGACAATAAACTCTATAAACGTTTTCTGCATTTCCTCCACAACAAAATATTATCACACACTCATTCATAGAGTCAAAAAATTCAACAAATTTTCTCTGACGAATCTCAAATCAAACTAGCAAATCTCTTCAACCAACCTTTCAAAATCGTTTTCGCCGCTTTACTCGACGGTGTTTTCAACCAAACATTATTCGTGTACTGCACAAAAATCTGACCACTTTGCAGTTGGCCTGTCTCGTCCATCACGCCAAACATTGAACGTCCCAAATGTGGTGGGATCATGATCTGTTCCTTGGCCAGTTGCTTCTCTACAAAACGCTCGGATCCAAAAATCTTACGAAAAATCTTCCGAATACGTCGAGAAATTTGTCGCCAAAACCTTCATGCTACACAAGACACTGCTTGTATCTCGAAGTCCAAATCTCTATGAACTCTTACAATCTTTTTCAATCAACATTACGTTCCAGTCAAATAAAGACGAACTCACCTATACGACCGATTATCAAACAATAGAATACATAGAAAAAAGTGGCAAAAAATTTCACTCCAAAAGAAACAAACTGAAAGATAACTTGGAAACGTACTCAACATATACTTTACGCTAGCTCGAAGAAGACTTCTGAAGAACGGCTCTTGAGTTAGTGCGAAACCGCGCACTAGCGACAGTCGATCGACGTTCATCAGCCGTGGTAATTCGTTCAATTTATCGCGACATCTAAACTTCTCACCAAATTACCTTCATATTATGAAATGCACCCATACTTTACACACTATCCTAGATACGAACATGCAACCGTAACTAAAACTGTTTTACGTAACAGCTGCCACTACTTCCAGATAATAAGCAAAACCACATGAATACTTTTTAGGTGTAACGAATTCAAGATTAAGGCAAAATTTATCGAAACATTGAATGAACTCACCGATCCTCATCCAAAAAC